GTGAACTTGTGGTGGCCTTTGTGCAAACTTGTGATTCGATCTGGGCAGAGGCTTCTGTGATAATTCTTATTCTCAGCATGTGCATGCCTGATCTGTGATCTTTGGGGTTTATTATTCTTATCTTTGTTAGGGCTTGACACAAGTGACTCCATTTTGATTTTGACCCATCACATAAGGCAGTTCCTTAATTGATGGAGACACGGAACTTGCTTCCTCTCGCAGTTCCCCATCGGGCCCTGACTTACTTCCCTCGACTCCAGTTTCATTTGATATTCTGCTAAAAGAACTCAAAATCTCATAACTTTTTTTTTTCTTTTTGTGGTCCTGGGGATTGAACCCAGGGCCTCACACGTGCTAGGCAAATATTCTGCCACTATATCCCCAAGCCCTTTTTATTTATCTGGAGATAAGGTCTCAATAAATTGCCCAGATGGCCATCCTCCTGTTTCAGCCTCCTGAGTAGCTGGATTACAGGCAGGTATCACCTCGCCCGGCTCAAACTCTCACAATCCAAGGCCCCTGACACTGCAAAGCCCAGTTGGAAGTTGGATGTTTTACCTTGTGTGCAGTCACCTTAGATCAAGGAGGTTTAAGTATGGCCTTTGATCACATTTGGGCAAATTTTTTTTGTATCCAGGAAACTTCTGTCTTGACTAAGCGGGAAATGTGCCGAGCTGGGGATGCAGCGAAGTCATAGAGCACCTGCCTGTCATGCACGAGGTCTTCAGCTCAATCCCCGGTACCGCAAGAAAAAGTCTATTATAAGCTGGTTGGGTAGCTCAGTGGTAGAGCCCTTGCCTGGCCCAGTGAGGCTCTGGGTTCAAGCTCCAGCACAACAGACCGACGGACGGATCTGTGTTGACCGACTGACATCACTGTCAGCCTCACTGAGGCCAGGGAACTCAGGGGACATGTGAGCTGGTCCTTCACAACTGTCTAGCCTTGGACATGTGGCTTCCGGGGTGGAGGTGCCCGTTGGAAGCAACTACTTTGTGCTCCTTCCCAGGATTTCTTATTCTCCTCCATCATCATCATCAGTAAGAACAGAGAGAGGTCAAAAGAGAAATCTCCACCAGTCTAGGTGGCCCATGCCTATAATCCTAGTGGTTTGGGAGGCTGAGGCAGGAGGATCTTGAGTTTAAAGACAGCCTCAGCAAAAGCAGAACGCTAAGCAACTCAGTGAGACCCTGTCTCTAAATAAAATATGAAATAGGGCTGGGGATGTGGCTCAGTGGTTGAGTGCCCCTGAGTTCAATCCCCAGTACCAAAAAAAAAGGAAATCTCCAATGTTGCTACAGCTCTTCTGACACCCCAGCGGGCAGACTCTCTTCACCTCCTGATGGAGCCCTCTCATCTTGCTGCCCCTAGCCTCAATTACTGGCTTTACCCCTAGTCACCATCCTTGGAATATCCATCTTCAAGTGCCTCTAAATCACCTCCAGACCCAACCTTCCATCAGCAGACGGCTCAACCTGTCTTGCAGAAGAGCAGGGATGAAAGACAATTCTGACTTCACCCAGACACCGACTACTCAGAAAACCTGTTTCAAGCTGGCCAGACCCCTATCATCAACCCTTGATTGTCTCCCAGCTGTTTGAAAATTAGATGGTGTAGGTCTGTCTTGAACAGGAGGACTGAATACAGTTTTTGTCTACTAAAGTCCAGCTCTTTTTCTCCTTGGGACTCACAGATTTTTTTTTTCAAAAAACTTAAGTATCAAACCCTTCTGTTGTTCCTTTTAAAAAAACACCTTTTTATTTTGTATTTATTTTTTATATAGTGCTGTGGATCAAACCCAGTGCCTCACAGATGCTAGGCGAGTGCTCTACCACTGAGCCACAACCCCCAACCCCTTCTGTGTTTTTTTTTCTTTTATAAAATTTTTTTAAATAAATTTTTATGCCTTTATTTATTTTTTATGTGGTGCTGAGGATTGAACCCAGGGCCTCACACGTGTCAGGCAAGCACTCCACCACTGAGCCACAACCCCAGCCCCCTCTGTGGTTCTTAATGTGTGGAAGATAATGCTCCAAGTACTTGACAAATAATTCATTTGATCTTCGGAACAATTCTACGAGGTACAAATGAAAATGAGGCACAGAGAGGTTAAGTTGCTTCCCCAAACCACACAGCTAGAAAGTTGCAGACTCTCCCCAGGCAGCCCGCCTTCAACGTCTTTGCTCTCCACTCTAACACTGCTATCTCCATGCCAGGACCATAAGTTTCTGTAGGGCACACCAAAGTGATGAAATGGAAGCGGAAGGTCTGCAAGCGGTGGTGTGGCCCTCCTCTGTCCTAGCACCTCAGGTGGCTGAGGCAGGAAGATCATCAGATGCAGGCCAACCTGGGGATGTAGTTCAGTGGTGGAGTGCCCCTAGGTTCAACCCCCAGTGCCAAAATAACAATAATGAGATGAAGGTCTCACAGGATCTGGGCCTTGACTTTGAATAAGAGTCAAGATCTGTCCCCAGCCCGGCGCGATGGCGCACGCCTGTGATCCCAGCGACTCCGGAGGCTGAAGCAGGAGGATCATGAGTTCCAAGCCTCCTGGGCACTTGGCGTGGCCCTAAGCAACTTAGCCAGACCCTGTCTCAAAATAAAAAAAATTAAAAGAGGGCTGGGGATGTAGCAAGTGGTGGGCGCCCCTGGACTCAATCCCCAGGACAAAAACAAACAAAAAGGGCGCAAGGTCTGTCCGGGAAATGGGTGTGAATGTCGGAGCTAGCTCGGGAGAGCTGTGGGGAGGGACACGACGCACCGAGCGCAGTGACACAGGCTGGCCACCTGGGGGGGCGCTAGCCCCGCTGGCGGAGCGCGGGGAGGCGCGGGGAGCCTTGGAAACCGGTGGCAGCTCAGACTCAGGACCAGAGAAGGCTGAGAACAGAGCATCTCAGAAGGCGGAGAACAAAGCCTCTTAGAACGTAGAACAAAGGCCCTGGAGTTGCCGACTGGTGGAGCTTACAGCCTCACTGCACCTAGGAGACAAAGACGCTTAGATTCTCTGTTCCCATCAAATCATTCCATCTTCCACCCAACGTCCAGAATTTGGGACACAACCGAAATTGGACCGTTAGAAGAAAGACCGGCCACATAATTTTGTCTGCTCAGTGCAAAATGAAAACGTGGGGGTCCCTGGCTCAAAAAAATATGTGAATTTCAAGAGAGCTCTAGCAGAATATTAAACCAAGCGCCGAGGTCGCCTCAGCTAGTCCCACGTGGGTGAAGCCGGTCCTCCTTTAAGAAGCATAACTTTATCCGTTTTACAGAGGAGTGTCTCGGAAGGCTTCCTGGAAGAGGAGGCGAAATCAGAGCTCGACCCTCAACCTTGTTCTCCCCCGCCCCCCCCTCCTCGCGCAGCCTCAGAAGCTGAAGGTTAGAACAGGGAGGTTGGAACATCTGCCAAACTGTCACGTGGATGCATTCTCTATTTATAGACCATCCTTCCTCTCTCGCCGGACAGTCCAATGGTAGCCAGAGCTCGCCCGCAGGAGGGCGGAACCGGCTGCAGGACCGGGAGGAACAGACCAATGGCATTGGAGCAAGGGCGGACTTGTTTCATTGTGATGCGTAGGGAGGCGTGGTCAAGGCCCTGAGGCAGATTCACGGGGGGGCGTGGCGAGGCTGTCTTTAAGCAGAGTGAGTAGGTAGCTTCGAGCATGCGTCGTGTTGGGCGGCGCGGGTGCTCTGTCCAGCAACTTCGTCAGGATGGAACCCACCAATAGGCGGCGGTTGCTGTGTGGCCGGGGGCGTGGCCATGCAGATAAGGCACGGGTGGGGGCGGCCCAATGGGCGGGCGCCTATGCAGATGAGACGGTGACAGCCCGGCCAGCGGGCGGGCGGGCAGGCGGGCTGCTGGGGCGGGGAGGTGGGACCGGGAGAGGGGTGGCCGTGGGGCCCGGCCGGGCTGGGGCGGGGGGCCGCAGCCATGATCCGGGCCTTCTCGTTCCCGGTGAGCCCCGAACGGGGCCGGCTGCGGGGCTGGCTGGAGGGCAGCCTGGCCGGGCTCTGCGAGTTGCATTGGCTCCGAGAGAGGCAGGAGTACCGCGTGCAGCAGGCGCTGCGGCTGGCCCAGCCCGGAATGGGGGGCGCTGAGGCCGAGGACGAGGAGGACGCCGACGAGGACGAAGATGCGGCGGCGGCGCGCCGGGCCGCAGCGGCCCTAGAGGAGCAGCTGGTGAGGGGCCGCCTGTCCGTTCTTCCCTCCACCCTCGTCTGTATCTGTCTGTCTGTCTTGGTTGGATGCTCAGGCACACGTCGCGACGGGGCTCAGAGAGGGGGAAAGGACAGGGGTAGGGTTGGAGACCCCGGAGTCCAAGCGGCGGGCGGGACCTGGCCTCTCCGTCCCCAAATCGGGGGAGGGGGTACTGCATGGCCTCTGCTGGGGCCTCATGAGATGCATGGCTCCATCCTCTACACCCCTTCCCCAAAGAAAATCCTTCTGGGCGCCAAGTATGTGTCAAGACCGGATCTGAGTACTTTGCACGCGTTGTCTTTTTGCAGCTTGGGAGATAGGGGGTGGTAGTTCCCATTTTACAGAGAAAAAACTGAGGCTCAGAGAGAGGAAGTGACTCACCCAAGGTCACACAGTGGGGATTCAAACATGCCTCCCTCTGGGCCCGGCTACCAGGGAGGGTTCCATCTTCGCTGAGCCCTGGTGTGCTTGGAGATCTCCAGAGGGGGCGCGGTGGGGGGAGGGGACTTAGGGCCTCCAGAGGGAGGGATCACTGCTGGGAGTTAGCTCTGTCTCTGAGGCCCCCACCGGCATCAAGACCCATCCATGACACTTTTCTCTCTTTCCTACCTGGTCCCAGTCCTCCTTAACCCAAGAAGAGGCAGGTTAAGGCAGCAGGGTGATTTGACTTCTGGGGGCTCTAATGGGGGAAGATGAGCAGAGGTCTCCAAATTAGGGAAGCACCATTCCTCTCCTCCATACATCATTCCTTGAGTCCGGAGACCCCTTCCTGGTTGCCTGCACTCGCTCCCTACCGCCACATCTCCGTGACTTTCTGTGTCTGCTTCCTTTTCTCAATCCTGTCTGTCTGTCTGTCTCCCGGTCTTCCCTCCTTGCATTTCTGCTGCTCTTCTCTCTCTCTTCCTGCCCCACGCCTCAGTCTCAGTCTCTCTCCTCCCCTCCCCCAGCCTACAGACCCTGGCTCCCCTTGCAGATCCCATCCTGAGCCTGTGGGTGGTCAGAGCTTCCCGTTTGGGGAAACCTGAGACGAGGTTGCGGGGGGGGAGGGGGCTCTCCCTGTCGCTGACCTCGACTGCCCCCTCCCCAGATGGGAAGTGGGGAAAGCTGAAGCCAGACACAGGCCCTGCACGCCCAGCCCCTCCCCCGGCCTGGAGTGGGACCCTGCACATTCTTCTTGGAAGCAGAAACAGCTGTGGGAGGCCCCGCCCCCCTCCAAAAGTTAGACACGGGATTGTGGGGGACTTCACCAGCTCCCCCACCCCAAGATGCCTGGGTTTCCCAAGTGCCCCCATCCCACCAGGAGTCAGGGCACTGCCCCTCGGCCTCCCCATCTCTTTGCCCCTCATCTTACATTTCTCAGTCTCCCTCTTCCCTCCCCTGTCCCCCAAACCTCAGTCTTCCTGGCTGGCATAAGGTGGTAGTGGAGAGGCCAGTCCCCCCACAGTCACCAGGCAAAGCTCGTCCCAGCACCAGGGAGGAGGTGGTGGCAGGCGGGGAAGTGGGGGAGACAGCGGCACCAAGGGAGAGGCAGAGAAGCGCTAAATATAAACTCCTCTGAGTGCTGGGGTTCCTGGGTCCTTCTGAAGATGGGCCTCCTCTGTTCCCTGGGTCGTCCTTGTGAGACTTACCCGGTATCTTCACCCAAAAATACACTGTCTTTGAAGCAAGAGAAGATAGAAGCCAGACTTGGTGACTTTCTAATAAGAATGATGGAGATACCAGGTAAAGACTGAGGTTACTGCAGAAAATAGAGGCATGAATTCTGGGTGGGGGTCAGGGGCTCCCTGGGTCCTGTTTGCTCCCAGGAAGAAAAAGGGTCACTTTTAACAAGGAGTTCTTAAGCGAGACTTGCAGAGGGCTTCCTACCAGAGCTTAAAGGGCTCTGGACACTGATAAGGGAATATAAGGAAATGGACAAAGATGCGGGGAAATTTGAGGTCTCCAGGAGCCCTGACTACACTCCTGTTAAGCCTCCCTCCCTCGGCTGGATGTCCTGCTTGTAGTAGGATTTGCACAAAAGGACCAATAAGGGGGCACTGTGGGGAGGCAGGGGGCAGAATTCAGGCCGAGGACCTCTGGTCTTCAGAGTCATCCTTTTTGCAGCTGGAAGGAATGAGGTCAGATTTATAAGATGGGGAATGTAGACTGGGGGACGATTTCAGGGGTGTCTAGACACTGAGGAGGAGGAGGCCATGGGGGAAGAGAGACTCCAGACTCTGTCTTCCTCAGCCCTCCTTATAGTGGAAGAAATGAGGCCTGCAGAATTTATCAAAACAAAACCAAAAAGCAAAGGGAAAAAGTATTTTACATCTATTTTTTAATTATGCAAGTAGTATTTTAATTACTCCTTGTTAGATATTCATAGCTTTCATGTAATAATGCCAGTTAGTATTTATTAGTACATAAAAGGAAGTGCTCCTTTAACTCATGTAATCCTCCCAGCAGTCCTGTAAGAGATGGAGTCACAGGATGCCCATGTGATAGACAGAAACTGAGGCCCAGAGAGCCAAATCACCCACCCAGAGTCTCACAGTGGGGAGGTGGAGAGCTGCATTTGGCAACGTGATGCTAACTCATGCCTCCTTAAGCACTCCCCATCCCTCCCTTGACCCCCTGAGGTCCCCACCGTTGTCACCTTGGCTTGAGTCCCTCCAGACCTCTTCCTGAAAGGACTTCCTGCATCAGCTCAGCAGAAACAGTTTACATACCAAGAAAGAAATGTAGAGCTTGTAAAAAGCTTTGCTTTTTACAAATGCCAGTTTCTTGGGTGAGGTCCCAGTGACTGTGCCAGTGGTTCTCAAAGTGTGACCCCTTAACCAGCGGCACCACATCACATGGAACTTGTTAGAAATGCAAATTCTTGGTCTCAACTCCAGACTGGGATCAGAAGCTCTGGAACTGAGACTCAATAATTTTGGTTTTAACAACCCTTCCAGGTCTGCATGTAGGACAGTAGACCTGTAAAATTATATCACTTAGTGACATTGTAGCTGTCTTAGTTTGTTTAAGTACACTCTTTGAGGTTAGCACATGATGAAATCGCCTAATGATGAATTTCTTAGAATGTGCCCACATCATTAAGCAACACAAGACTGTAATTCTGACTCACTGTCATGCGTGTATTCTGCATTTTTATCTTTCTGCTAATGCTTTATCATAGCGATGGTTCCACAAAGAAATTTGCCATTTTCCATCCTAACAGGTGTATAGTATTCCACTACACATGTGTCATTCATTCATTCATTCATTCATCAAATATTTCCTGGGCACCTGCTTTGTGCCCAACACTGCTAGGGTAGGTGCAGCCAACACAAATCTCTGCTGTCCTAGGGATGACGTCCTAGTGAGAGACACAATAAACAAGTGACACCCTGCTAGATGATTTTTAAGTCAAGAGGTCATTACTGCTGTGTAAAATATAAAAATAGAAAATAGAAATAGAAAAAGTAGAAGGGTGTCAGCGTGCAGAATGACAGGGGAGCTATTTCGGAAAGTGTCAGAGAAAGGATGCGGTAACCAAAGATGTGAATGAAGCCGGCGGGCCAGGGGGGCGGGGGAGGGGGGAGCCAGGCTGCCCTCCAGGACAGCAAGGAGGCCAGGAGGCTGGAGCCCAGGGATCAAGCTAGCGCCTCTGGGGACGTGGTAGGGGACAGGGGACAGGGGACGTACAGAGGTGGCTCCTCCATTTCTCTAACCACTCCTCCTTGTTGAGCGATTTGGCTGCTTTTGGGGTTCTGCTCAAAGCTGACTCCTCTGCATGCCCAGGGCAGCGCAAGCTCAACAATTTGTCGACTTTGCCCACATAAACAGGCCCAGATGGGGGCTTCAGATCTGGGGGAGGGAGGAGCCAGGGCCCAGAGAGTCCCGAGCTGGGAGGGGGCGGTGGCTGCGGACCGGCCGGTCTCTCTGCCCTAAATAGGCAGGGCTGGGCGCCTGCCCTCCCCCTCCCCCCTCCCCGCGCCCAGCCAGACAAGCCGCTTTTGTCTGGGGGTCAACCGCCAGCCGCCGGCTCCACAGCTCCACTCCTCAGCCCCTGTGAGCCTTCTTGGCTCTGGCCCGCCCCCTCTGAAACTGGGCTGCTTTGGGTGTCTTGGGGCCCCCACCCCTGAGAGGTCATGGTCACTGCCCTGGGAAGATTTTCTCCTTCATTTGCTCCTGGGAATAAGGAGCCCTGGACAGACGCTGGGGTGCGGAGGGGTGGGGGTGGGTTTCAGGGCAGGAGTGGAGCCCAGGGCACAGGAGGATGTGGTGCTGGGGCAAAAAAAAAAAAAAAAAAAAAATACAGGGATCACTGCTGTAGGACCATTAAGGTTAGACTTGGAAGGACTTCCCAGGATGCCCAGAGCCCGGCAGGGGTGGGGTCTGAGGGGAGAAACCTCAGAGGGTGTGAGGCTGAAGCAGGAAGGACCACACGACTTTCCACTGGTGACAAAGGGCAGTGAAGGGAGATGGGTGCACAGGAGACAGGGTCAAAACTGGAAGAAGGGACCACAGAGGGGGTTCAGTGGTAGAGCACCTGCCTGGCACCCATGAGGGCCTGGCTGCAATCCCCAGTACCACCCACCTACACAAAATAAGTAATAATAACATAAACAAAATTTTAAACCAGGAGAATACAGACCCATGGCTAAGGGATCTTCTGGGTCCTGGACACCACCTTTAGCACTGAACTGTCTTTATAGCAAGAAGACCTGGAGGTAGACTCAGAGAACATTCTTATGGGGTTCCCTTGTGAGCACAGATGGGAATCCTTGATGGACGGTGGGCAAGAGGGGGCCTCTGGGGCCTCACTGCACCCAGGAGGGACTAGATGGGGCTCCGCGAGGATGGGAGTTAGCCTCCGTCCCTAATGGACATGAGAGACAGAGACCTTAGAGGTTCTGGAGCCCAGGTACTGATTTTATGAAGTCAGAGCCTCATGGTCAAAGTGAACCTGTCTGTGTCCATGAGCTCATGGAACAGGGGACTCTATGGCAGCAGGTTGGGCCTTCTGACCGCCCTGCTTTCCCCATGCCCTCAGGAGGCCCTGCCTGGACTCATCTGGGACCTGGGCCAGCAGCTGGGAGACCTGAGCCTGGAGTCTGGGGGCCTGGAACAGGAGAGCGGGCGCAGCTCAGGTGAGCAGGGCTGGAGGGGTGGGGTCTGCCTGGACACCCCAGCCTTTCCCACGCTCCCCATCTCTCAGGCCCGCACTCTCTCGCTGCCGCACCTCCTCCTCTCCCACCCCTGCTTTCCCCACCCCACCTCCCTGATGGTCTTTTGGCTTCTCTTTGGAATCCAGGCTTCTATGAAGACCCCAGTTCCACAGGAGGTCCAGACTCACCACCCTCAACCTTCTGCGGGGACAGTGGCTTCTCTGGATCTGGCTCCTATGGACGCCTGGGTCCCTCTGAACCCCGAGGCATCTATGCTAGCGAGAGGCCCAAGTCCCTAGGTAAGGTGGGTGGGGTTGGGGACCTGAGGCCAGGGACAGGACATTAAGAGGCTCCTTTTGAGCATAAGCTTCCAAGTCACACCTGGACCCCAGTTCTGGCTGTGACCTTCCCTCTTCATGTGATTTTGAGCTTCTCTCTTCTTTCCGGATCTGTCTGTCCATTTGTGAAGGGGGAATAACAGTGTCCACCTGCTGGGCCTGTGTTGGGTACTCATGGGCCTCTGCCCTCCAGCCCTGGACCAGCCACTCGGTAGTCACTCTGAGACAGGAAACACTGTTGCTCATTTACACAAAGTCCATCTCTGAGCCCCTACTGTGTGCTCTCCTAGCACTTTCCTCGGGGTGAGGGACACAGCAATGAACTGGACAGGGAGCTCCCTGCCCTCGTGAATGGACATTGTAGTTGGAGAAATAGAGCATACACCAGATAAATAAGTAAAATACATAGGGCATTAGATAATGACTTGTGCTGTGACAATTCATAAACCAGGGGAAGGGACATCCCTTTGAGACTAGGGAAGCAGTTAGAATCAGAGAAAATATGGCTGAGGGGGGGTCTCACTGAGACTGTAAGAGTTGAGTGGCTTCCCTAAATAAGAGAGTGGGCCAAGCAGATGTCCAGGGGGTCTGGGAATATATATATATATATATATATATATATATATATATATAGAAAGAGAGGGGGAGAGAGAGAGAGAGAGAGAGAGAGAGAGAGAGAGGAGAGAGTAGAGGCAGAGGCAGGACAAGTCACAAGTCATGCATATCTTATTGATCTCTGAAGATTTTTTTCACCAACCGTAGACCAGGGAAGGGAGGAAGGCAGGTTTCATTGATGAGGTGAGGTGGAGATGGAGGGAGGTGGCCGGTCCCTTCAAGGTTGGATGAGAAAGGACTTTGAGAGTCTCCCCTGCCCCTTTTTTCCCCCTTCTTCCCCTAGGAGACGCCAGTCCCAGCGCTCCCGAGTCGGTGGGCGCGCGGGCCGCGGTGCCGCGGTCCTTCTCTGCGCCCTACCCG